CAGCCATGACATGCCCAAGATCATGTCGAATTTGGTGTCCAGAATGTCAAAGGACACCGCCTCACTTGCGTGAGGGGCAAAGTACACTGGGACGCTGTCAATGCACCAGTCGATTGACTGGTGCGTGTGACCGTCCGCCAATGTGACTTGCGTAGGCTGGGGCTTCCTCCGGACGCGTGGGCCAAGGCCGGCGCGCACCATGAAGTCCTGGCTGATGTAGTTGCGAGATGCTCCGCAATCGATCAAAGCGTTGCAGGTCGCTTCTCCGATATGAATGCGTACATATAGCAATGGTGCGTCGATGTCGTCGTACCGTTGCGTCTTGAACTCACGGTCGATCTTCGCAATGTACACGTGAAGGTCGACAACCTCTACTCCGGCGTCCATCAACGGAGTCGGTACTGCAGTGTGCAAGTAATCTCGCAGTTGTGCCATGAGCACATTGCAATGCGGTTTCGGCAATCGTCCGGTCGGGGGAACGGGCATCCACTGGAAGTCCGTGAACGTCAGAGGGTCGAGTACCTCAAGTCTTGACCACGACGATGAATCCCCGGCGATAGATGGCGGCGAAGCTCCCGAATCGGTTGTCGATGGTGATGAAACCGTGCATGCGGTAGATTGTTGCACGTGGAGCGATTGGTCCAGCGGTGGAACCAAGTGGACAGCATAGTCCTCGTAAGTGTATCAAGAACCTGCGACATTCGCGTTCTCCCCAGATGTGCAGGAGGCCGCTAGCAAGGCGGCCGAATCTGGCGGAGTAGAAGGTGGAGTCGCCTCACCTTCCGCGGAGCTCAATTTCCCGAGCTGAGGTGGGGTCGCACATCCTCCTTGCCCTGATCCTGGCACAGGGAGGTCTTGTGCTTGGTGCTGTTGCACCAATAGCAGCTGCCGTAGCGGTCGCGGACCTTGTACTCCGCCTCGGTCAAGCCGAACTTGACCCATGGAACTTGTACAGGCTATCCATTTCCGGCCTGCGATGCGGATTTCGCCTTCCCATTGTTGCGGGACTTGTTGTTGCTTCGCGGCTGGACAGCAGCCACCTGATCTCCGTCACTTGATGCTGGAGTGGCTGCTGGGTTATCTCCACTGTCCGACTGGACTGCAGCGAAGTGCTGCTGTCGCGGACCAGTTCGTACCTTCTCCACATAGGTCGGCTGCCATATTGACTTCTCGTGTGCAGCTGACCTGTTGGTCTTGATGATTTCCCTCGCCTTGTCAATGATCTCAGCGAAGGTTGAGTACTGCTCGCGATCACCAAGAGCCTGGCTCAATGCAGCACAAGACCTGTTGTAGAACTCCCGGCGTAGATGCGTGAATGCCAAATCCAGATTGGGCACCGCCGCAATCTTCTGCCACTCCGTGAGCCAATCCCGTGTTGCAATGCTGCCCTGTGACATGGTGAACAGACGGTTGATGGCGAGTGCCGGCGCGTCGTCGACGATGAACCGCTTCTTCCACCGCCGTGTCAGTTCCTCCTATGTGATTTTGTCCTTCAAGTCCGGTACATCGACGCCGTGGGAGGTTGCCTGGTGGCTCAACCAGGTCTGGCATCCGCCCTTTGAGTTCAGGAACAGGGCGCCTATGTACGCGTGCTTGGCGACAGGCAGAATCCTGAGTTGCGTCGTGAATGCCTCCCACCAGAGGACCGGATCCTGTTGTGTGTAGTCGTCGAACTTGTCCAGTTGGAAAGTTGGCATCTTGTACATCTTCGGATTGTCATCCGCGTTCGTCGACTGCAACTGCTGGACCTCGGTCTTCAATGTATGCAGCTGACTGCTGATGGTGGTCGGCGCAACGAAGGTGCTGATGTCGCCGAGCATTTCCACTACGTGGTCAACGCGTTCCTCCAGTTGGCGGCTAGAGGATGCACTGCTGGAAGCCCCAGCATCTGGTCCTGGTACA